TTGTATCCCACGGATCATGATTATTAGCTCATCAGGCTTCTCACCAGCGCAAGCGGATATAAAATCTCTATCGATTGGTGGAAATAGCAAGTAACGATGCGTAGCTTCTGGTGTGATTTCTGATGCACAGATAAGAACATCTCCAGGGTCAATTTCGTCTGAAAGATTATCCCGGAGTATCAATTCTACACGGCACTCAATTCGTTGGCCGTTGGAATGTGGAAAGTCGAGATCAAAGAAATCTTTAGCCGAAACTTGTCTAGTACGGTCGATGTGAGCATCTTCAACTGGGGCAAGCGTTTGCGGATTGCGGGCTCGAGTTGCATCAGTATTGTTTGCATATAGATCTTCTAGCCTAGCGTGTTCTTCTTTAACACGACGACGAGCCGTTTCTTGCAAATCCTCAAATATTTTTAATGCTTTACCTGAGAGTTCAGAATGATTGAGTTTATCAAGACCCTATGATAAGTTAGAACCTAGTCAATGGATATTTTGCTGAACAGTCATCTAGATGATAAGAAGACTAAAATACGCACCTTTGTTAGTTTTGCAAGATATTTTATCCTGACAAGTGGCCTCTTGAGTAAGAAGGCGACATCAACACGTTCTCCGTTCGAATTCACAATGTCTCCATCGGCATTGCGAGGGACACTGTCAAGAGGTGATTCTTTCTCTTCTGTAGACGATTTGCGCGAAGCTGGTGCTAAATTGACAACAACATCCTGGAAGCCCAATCTCCACGCACGAGTGTAGTCTTGGTAAGTTCGATGGGCTCTCTGGAGCCAGACTATGAGGGCGTCTGGATCTTGAAGTGGTATGCGTCTATGTAGACTCTTTAAACGCTCGAGAGCAACACCCATATCGACAATTGGTTTGGTAAGAAATGTTTCGTTCATGTCCGTAGAGTCGGGATTGAAGAGGCCAGCAGCAATTGCAGAGTCTGATTTAGACAGAACGCAAGTTAGGAGAACTGGTATCACCCCATCAACTAAAGTTTTCAGTTCTCTCATATACTTAACCTCATCGCCCGCCAATTCACGCATCAAATCCAGTTCAGTAGCAGTCTCTAGGCTGCTTCGAGCCGTACGCACACTTCGAGCTGATCTAATACTTTTTGTACGACCAGCTGGTGGGGCATCGGGTAAAGACAACATAGATACCAAGTCAGAGTGCTTTGTAAGTCTTCTTTTAAGTCCCGATCTATTGCTTCTCCTGCGTGAGACGTTGGAATCAGACCGCCCGGTCTCGGTAGTAGCTTGAGTGAGAGTAGTTTTAGTAAGGTTAGATGAAGTGTCTACGGACGAAAGGGTGCTGAAGGTTTCAACAGATGCAATTTTTGATAAATGATGGTTGCCAGAGCTTCCACCTCTTCTCTTCCGCCTCGGTCTGTCGGAAATGTCTCGGTGTGCGTCTGGCACTTGAAGGTGAGTACCAGAAGAGCGGCTACGCTGAGAATTGGTATTTTCAGATGTTTGTAAGCTACGACCAGAATTCTTGATGTCGTCTACATCGTGGTTTTCTTTCTCGTGGTCTCCATCATCTTCTGTGTCTATGATACCCTCAAATGTAGACTCGCCTCGGAAAGCATCTAGTAAAGCATCTTTGAAAGGTGATTTCTTAGCTGCCTTGATCACGGGAGGAGAAGCAGCACGTAAAGCTGGACTACGTCGAAGACCAGCTGCAGGTGGAGTTGGGGGCTTCTTGAACTCGATTGGATCATCCAGAACACGTCCCAAAGGAGATTTATCGTTGTGACTTCTGAAGCTGGTATCTGAAGTTTTCCGAACGCGCTTTTGTCTACTCCCAGTTCCTCTGCGCTCTTCTTCAAGTGCTTGTTTCTGGTCTTGGTCAGGCTTGGGAGTACGTCTCTCACTATCATCTATCTCTGTAGATACTTCTGTTAATGCGGGAGTCGAAACAGGACTTGGTACATCAAGGAAAGGATCTGGGGTGCTATTGAGCCAAGACTCAATTGTTGGAGGCCGATTTACACCACCCCTTGGAGGCATTTCAGGGGCATCATGCGTATCATGCATAATCTTTTTCCCTTCGTTATAGACGCGCTTGAGAACTTTGGGCACTAGATGACTAGGATTTCTTTGGGGCTTAGGTTTGTTTCCAGTGTTCCCCGCCTCGGCACCAATAGGTAAATCCAAAGTACTGAAAGCAGAGTCGCCAAAGGGAATCCCATCAACCGATGGAGACGGTGAACGGGATTTCCTTCTTTGTTTCCGGGAGCTTGGAGAACGGCGAGTGGGAGTTTCTACATTTGTATCGTCCAAGTCGCCATCGGAGTGATCGTTCATACCTTTCCTTTCAGTCTCCTTCAGTGGCTTGATATGCTTCTCTGATGATTTACGCTTATGAGAATGCTCATCCGAGATCTCTGGTCTCAGAGGTGTTTGCTTGCCGTCCTTTTGAACAGTTGTCGGTTTCAGGCTGATGCCATCGAGGAAAGGGTTGCCTCCGGAACTCTGTTTCTTAGCCTCAGGAGCCCTCCATCTCGCTTGAACAGGTTTTACTCTAATGCCATCTTCCCACCGACCATTCGGTCCACATGCCTTGACTCGAATGCCATCATTTGCTGGAGTTCGAGACGGTTCCGATTTAGGGGTGTGTTTTCCTTTCGACGAACTAACAAGGCTTTCCTTGGATCCATTGTTCGAATTCTTTCGCGAGCTTGGGGTACTCCTTGACTCGACTTTCATTCTGTTTTTTGAGGGTTTCCGGGTCGGTTCCTCCTCCTCCTCCTCTATTTCAACTATAATTTCTCCTAAAGACTTGGCCCTCATTTTGCCCTTGCTTTCCCCACGGGTGCTTTGCTGTGGGATCTTGCTCGTTCGTGAAGTAGGTTGGGCCGCTCCATGTCCCCCCGACTCAGCCTCCGTACGCTTGACCCAATCAGCGATTTTACTTTCCAACTTGGGATTAGCAGCCGTCTGTTGGAGAAAGTCTTTAGGTATAGCTCGCATTGTGACTTTGATATCCTTTTTCTTTGGAGAGGCCTTGGTCTTATTCATTACCCAATGATCATCGCTTATAACTCTTTTTCGAGGCGCACTTTTGCTCCTTACTTCTGCGGCCCAATTTTCAGGGTCTCTATTTTTCCGCCGTCCAGGTCGAGTATTTTGATTTCTGACATGAAGCCTGTTATCCTCGGTGACAACACTGGGCCCAACCACACTCTCTTCCTCCACCTCCACTATTATCTCATCCAGTTCCGACTCTGGATCATCGACTTCTTCAATGGCAGCTGCTGCACTAGCTTTTTGCCATTGCTTAACCCGATCGTGTACTCCTCCTGGCTTTTGAATCCTATTCACAGTGCTCTCCCGCATCTCCGCCTTGACTGCGTCAAGACTTCTTCGTCTTTGGCGACTTGCTGATGGTCTGCCCAGCAGAAAATCAGTAAGCAATGTCGGCTCCGATTTCTTGGATGGTGGTCGCTTGTGTATGGGCGCATTGGCAGGAGTCCGCGGCTTGACACCGGGCTTTCGTATAGCTGTACCATTGGGAGTGCTCCTGGCGGGCGATGTCTTCTGCGGGGCAGTTGGAGACTTGGGTTGGGCCGGGGCTGTCTCATCTTTTTCAGGTTCGGGGGAAGGCATGGTCTGATAAGTTGCATAGCGTCAGTGACTCTTCGTAGCATAGATAACATAATGTGTTGCGCGAAGTTGGGTTTGGAAACAATATTCAGCTTCGAAAAAAACGTTAGATGCGCACCTTGATTAAGACCAATTCCCAACTCTAACATGCGGCGACTCAAATGGTAGTCGTATATTATAGTAAACCATCGAAGCAAGTCCTTGTGTTGACGTACATGAAGGCTGTTGTAAAATTATTGATTTGCGCCAATGTTCATTGACCCACGAGGAATGGCAGAATGTGACTTTGTGAGAACTTCCCCCAGGCAATTGGGCGCTGAAATGTGCTGTCAGTTGATAGGGCAACCCGAGTGATAAGACGAAGATGAAATGTCGCTATTCGATGTCAATCGCCAATTGACGTAGATTCAGGATTCTGTCTGAGGTTGAGAACAATGAATGGTAATATCAAAATCGAATGATTTTCTGTCCTAATTTCACAATGATATTGTTTGCATTATGGGACCAAAGTTTGTTTATCATTAGTTGTATTTTCCCGCACGGTTATGTTATTGTTTATTTCGCTTTGGATCTTGAACTGTATGGCTGGAGCTTGATTTGTTGACGAGAACCTTGGTGGCGGTGCAAGGACATGGTAATCTTTATTGTCCTTTGTTATCGTCCGTGGGATGGGAAGTTGAGGTGGGATTAATGCATTTCGATACACAAGCTGAATAAAATCAAGAGGAATCCCCAGCAGATGTCGTTTGCGATGTTTGCTTTTTCTTCTTCGCCCAACCTAGGTTCGTCAAGGCATTGGGTTCTGGGTGAACTCTGCTCGAGATAAGGATATAACTCGGATGATTCGATATAAACAAACAAATTGGAATGGCAGGAAAGGAAAGGAAAGGATGGATCAACATCCATTAATGCCCACCAAAAATGGAGATGGAGCCTAGAGCAGCCGCCCGCTTGAAGTAGATTATTATTAGATACTAGCCATGTATCACGAACGCTAAAAGCAGGTACGGACAACAGAAAGTTTCACAATCACGTGAGAGTGTATGTGATGAAGTGTGATGGTAACCACGTTTTTGTGGGTAGATTCACGTACCTAGTCGGAATAAGATGGAAAAGTGTCTATTAAACAATGGTATGGCGGCAATGAATTGTGAGAGAACCTGTTTCATTATTATAGTACGATTATTTCTCAACGTGCAGAAAGTTGGCCGTCTCGCAGTATTACTAGGAAGTCTTGCTGGTGTACCTCGAAGCTTTCCTTGATTGGTTCTTAGCTTGAAAATAAGCTTTATTCGGATTAACCATTATTCCACATACCCCTGTCAAATATTATTCATCCCCTCTCCAAAAATCCCACCTATTGATACTTGGAAATCCCATTGCTGAGACTCAGTCATGTCGACGTTTAAGCCATATGCTTATTTTCAGTGTCCTTGTTCTGATACATCCATTCTAGCAAATTCTTCTACGCCTCCGGATTCCCCAACTCACGAAGAAGAACGCACGTTTGATCCAAGAGCTCCACGCGCGAACTATAGCTTATATCCACTGGAACATCTTCTATATTGTGAGGATTGTCACCAAATTCGATGCTCGCGATGTGTCTTAGACGAGATAGTGACTTGGTATTGCCCGAGCTGCTTATTCGAGGTACCGAGTAGTACAGTGAAGAGTGAAGGTAACAGGTTAGTAAACATGGCCTTACGATTTATTGTTTCGGTGTCAGCTCCCAGAGAGAAAGGCCTAGATCCTAATGTGGTACTACCAATCACTTAGATGCACAAGATCCTGTTTTCAATGCCCAATATGTATATCACCTCTCTCAGTCAATGAGGCGCCAGTCCCCGAAATACCCAATGTTTCGCCATCTCCGACAGCACCCTATATTCTTCACTGTGCATACTGTATGTGGAGTTCGACCGAAATTGGCATACGATTCGAGAAGCCAAACTCCGTATACTCACAGTTATCAAAGATAAAGAATGGTGGTGATCCACTGATAAGTGCAAAAGAACGCCGTCGAGACAGAGATGAAAGGCGGTCATCTTTGGCTACAGAAACGATCCTGGAAGAGGCGGATGAGGTCATAGAAAAACATACAGACCCAAACGAGAAACTCGATATAGAAAGTCAATACGCGAACCTAAAATCATTTTACCAGGGCCAATTGGCAGATTCGAATCCAAGCAGTGCGCTAGGATTTTCCAATGATTATGGATATGGATCCCCGGGAGCATTAACTCGAATAATGGGCCTTTACACAGGTGGAAGCTTTGGCGATCGAAAAGCGAAATCTAAAACTGCAAGCATGCGAGAAGCGTGTGATTCAACCGAAGGGCTTCAAGTCTACGATCCCGAAACCGAGTCTGTGGCTGTCTCACAACTTCTCAGAGACGGCTGGGAAGGTACAATTGCAACCGAGCAAAGAACAAATCAGACATCACCTTCAACCCGATTCCTTGACTCTCTTCGCCCAATCCCTTGCCTCCTCCGCACCAAACGTTCCAAACGTTGCCGTACCTGCCGTCATATTCTGTCCAAACCTGAATCCAAAGTCCCAACCACACGCTTCCGCATTCGCCTCGTCGCTCTCTCCTATATACCATCCATCAGCCTCTCCCCCTTCAACCCGCCCCCAGTCCGACTCCCGCCCAAATAACCCTCACCCCTCTCAAGCCAACTCAATTCCTCCTAACTTTCAAAAACCCCCTGTTCGAACCCGTTAAAATATCTCTCGCAACAAAAGGTCTCACAACCGACCGGCACGCCTCCAAAGTCATCCTCCTTTGTCCCCAATTTGAAGTCGGCGCCAACACAGATATGTGGGACGAAGCCCTCCAGGATTCCTCGTCCTCCGCCCATGATCGGAAACATTCAACCGCCACCCACGGCAGCATGGCGAGCATTGATCTCAGCAACGAAGCGCACGGAAAACCCTGGGACAAAGGTCGCAATTGGACAAGCGTAGTCGTCGAAGTCACACCCGGGAAACTTAAGACGAAATTGCCCGGACTAGAGCAACAGAGGAGATTAGAAGAGGAAGTGCAAAAGGAAAGAGTGGAAGAGGACGCCGATGTATGCGAAATCGCGGTTTTTGTGAGAGTGGAATGGGAGGCGGATGCGGCCGGTGATGGAGATGGGGCTGGGAAATTGGGGGGGTTGGGGGATAGGGATGGGAGGGAAAAGAGGGAGCTGGCTTATTGGTGTGTGGTGGGCGTGGGGAGGATCGGTAAATGAAAAATTGAGGGTGGGAGTTAGAGGGTAGGGAGACTTCGCGCTTGAGAACACCAGTCTAGCATCAAGTACTTCGGCATCGAAGAGACAGGAAATCCTAGGCATTAAAGCTTCAGTGTTGGGTTTAGCAAGAATGGGCACAATGACCGCAATCCTTTAAGATCCTGGCCAACGACTGAGTCCGAATACTGCGAGTACTACTGGTATAGGGGATATGATACCTTGAAAGGGAGTGCAAGCTAGCGCGTGGATGTGAAGTGAGCAACGAGGGGGTGGAAGACTATTGATTTTGAGAGATGAAAATTTATACCCAATTGCCATCCCATTCTGATCTAGCGAACGAAATAGAATTAGAAGAAATATGATACCACATTATAGATTCAAACATGACATCAATTGAACTCATAAACTAGACTAAAATTCTTGGACAATTTTTACTTTCTTATTTTCTCCTCTTATTCTCATTCTCTAACAAGCTACTGAGTAATGCGATGAATAATGAAGACCTGTACGCCAGGACCTGAATGTACACCTAATAGAAAAAAGTACTAAAACGAGAAAAACGACAACCTTCCATAACCTAACAAGAGAGAATCCGTAGTAATTTGTGATGAGGCATGCCAAAGAAGCGTGTATTCAGAGTCATTCGAATTTCTTCGAAGAAATAAACTTCAATTGAGTTTATGCTGAAGGGCGACTTGATGCGCGGGTAGTATGGTGGTAAATAGATGAGGAAATAGATGAGGTTTACAAGGATCGGACGTAACGTCCAGAAACCATACAATGATCTCTCTCGAAAGGTTCTGTAGTAGATTATGGTTAGTTGTGGAAAAACAAGTGGGTTGACATGGGGAAAAGCTTACCTAGAGTCAATTGCTCCAAAGGCTTAATTCTCTCCTCTCTCAACTTTTGTACTTCTCTAGCAAAAACAGCTTCTGGTGCGGCTGTGGAGTCGATACAAGATGCCTTGATGGAAACCAAAATACCACCACCAACCTTCAAGAACAAATGTGCGTTCAATCCAACAATACGGGCTTGATCAGGTTGTGCAACATCGGCGAAGATAACATCGACCATAGAGACCAACATTCTGTACTTAAGTGGGTGACGAGCGTCCTCAATGATTGGGATGACGTTTGTGCGGTGGGTAGCCATGTTGATAAGATCACGGCCAGATCTGTGGGAGAATTCGACGGCGAAAACAGTTCCTGTGGGTCCAACGATATCGGCAACGTGGGAAACTGAAGTTCCAGAAGCGGAACCAAGGTAAAGAACCTTAGCACCGGGCTTGATGAAAATCTCGTCCATACCACCGAGAACACCTGCTGCAATCTTACTTCTGAAAGGATTCCAGACACGGTATTCAGTCTTGGTGGTGCTTGGAGTACCATCTTCGTTGGCTGGGCCGGCGCCCTCGACACTGATGCGCTTCTCGCCGTATACAGATTCACCTGGGCTAAGGTTCTTGGTGACCAACATATCTTCCTTGCCACGAGCGACGAAGATTCCTTCATGACGATGGGGCTCCTGAAAAAATTGTTAGAACTCAATTGAAGTCCAATTCAACTGCAAATACTTACGACAATGGTCTTAGCACCTCCTCTGGCACCAGCACCTCCACGGCCTCTTGGAGCACCACGTCCTCCACGGGGAGCTCCTCTTCCACCACCACGACCGCCTCCACGTCCTCCACGGTCTCCACCACCTTTTTACAAAGTCAGCAAAGTTCAATCAAAACATTGGCGCATGCGCATTGAGCCATTAAGATTCAAATCGCATTGGAAATATAAAAATACGAACCTCTACCACCACCTCTTCCTCCAAAGCCTCCGCGACCACCACGATCACCACCTCTTCCCCCGCCGAAACTTCCACGTCCTCCACGGTCGCCGCCACGAGCACCTCCTCTTGGTGTGTATGCCATTTCTGCTTTAAAGTTTAGGAATTGAAAGTGCAGAAAAAAGTGTAATTGAGGCCGAAAAAATACTTGTCGGACGATTCGAGATTCTTGGGCGACGGGTCAATTGGATGCAATAAAAATTCTGGAGGTGAAATTTTGGGATTTTTTTTTAGGCGAAAAGGTCAAAGCTCCTAAAACTTATCACGTGTGTGTGCTAGGCTTGATGCACGAGAGCATTTTGGGACTATCATTAGCATATTATTGGAGGAGGCAAAAACTTTCGCTGTCGATAAGGGAAATGGATAAAAATTATCATCAACGGCTGGCTGATAATGTATGCATTGTGTCAGGTTGGTTTGGATGACTTTCGAGAATGCATCTGTCTTCTTACCATCCCGTCATGACTGGAATTGTGTTCAAGTTGGGACATAATGCTTTTCACAAAGAGGCTCACCGGGAGCTTTTCGCACCTTGCCAGGAACTGATTTTTTTGATAACTTTTCTGCAGCTATCGCCAGCATTCATCCTTTTCCCTCACATCAGTGAAAGCTGCTAGGAAACTTAATTTTTTCATAAGTAAGATTTGCTATCATACATTTGAAAGGCAGTGGGACTACAGTGAGTTGAAGAATTAGAAAGAAAAAGCTAGGTTGGATTGTCTACGCAAGACGAGTTATTTGGACTGACGAGATTCTCGAGAGTCTACGAGTATCTCTTCGTGTACGTCTCTCTTATTTACTCGTCAGGTGAAGTTGCGACGCAATCGTTCATCTTCACAGTCGAAGAAATACGATTCGTGGTATTCCTAAATTCGGGGGTACTGCATAGAACTGTATCAGGCGGATTCCAACAGCCATCATTCACGAACACAGGTGGATATTTCCTGGTACACATTCCTCTTGATATGTTATTGTAAGATCATGATCGAGCAAGTGTTCTCTATCTTTGGCATTCCACTGGCCGGTGCAATATGTTACGATCATGAGATGTGCCTGTACATTTCTAAATGAGGATCGCGCATTTGATCTTCGTCTGGTCTATTTGGAATATACCCTCACAACTCCAAACTTAACTTCCTTATCATATTGTATTATGCATAGCACTTTTTATGCTTTTAAGACTATATCTCACATTTATACTGTGATCAAACAAGCTTCGTTTTGTCTGATCTCACAACGACTATGGGGTCCAAGCATCCCTTGTTAGTTTGACTGCTTCAGGAAGTCGATACTCTCAGGATTTTCGTTGATTGATCCAATCATGTCCCAAAAAATTTCTTTTAATGAACGCCTCTATCATCTCATGTTTTTAACATGGTGTCACTATGTGGTTTAGCTGTCAAATGCTCTTGGCTCTGTCTTCACTCACTGGGAGCATCCGGATGTACCCACATCCGTTCAATGAGTATCACAAAATTTGGCCAAGGCATTTTCAATCACATCAAGATTATCAGAGGACTCCGGCGTCCTAAGGAGTGCAATAAGCATCAATGTATCCGATTCAGTCTGACAACGTGCTGGGGATATGTTGTTCCGCTCTGAATGTGGCTTATCACGAAGGGGAGAATTGTAGTATAATAGTCGCTGACTCTCCCACCATGACAGCAAGTTCTGTACATATCGCAAACTTTGTCACTCATTCACCAGTACTCATTCTCTTCCCACATACTTTTATCATTCTTTCGTTGAGCGCCCCAGCGGCTGCCTTACCTTTTAAGTAATATCAATCTTTAATCACATTCTTTCCTAATAATATAAATCATGCGTTTCACTCTGGTGGCATCATTGATCTTGAGCTTGGCTACCTTAATCATCGCAAGTGAGTACCAGCCTATACTTCATCCATGTTATCCAGTGCTCCAGACTAGATGATCATAATTGGCTTGTCAATGTTTGAAAACGAGTCAACATCTGCAAGAAAATCAATGTGTAAAATAAGGTGGACATTCGAAGCGGTCTAAATATTTTGGAGGAGATGAATGTTTTGATCGAGTTCAGGAATAAAACGATGTCCAATTGTTTGACCAACACTGGAGACTTTTGAATACGCTGATTGCATGGTTCCCGTTAATAACATAACTCAGGCCCATATCCTCACCCAGTCCCGGAGACTGATAGGAATATTGCAAGAGGCTTGGTCTATGCTCCTAGGGACTTGAGACAGCAGCCGAAGACGAATTCAAACAACGTGATCATTATCACCAAGACAGAAGAAGAGCAATTAACGGAAATCTCACGAAATCGCGAGATTCAACTTACAAAGCTTGTTCAAGAGCGGCTTATCATCATCGATCGAACACAAATCGCTCGGGACAGCATTAGGAGAAATCACTTCAAGAATTTGAACTCGCAGCAGGTATTTTCTTCCTTTCAAGCGGAAGCCAAAAATACAGAAATTAATATGATTCCCAGAACATTATCATCATTGTTGTCACACAAATTGTCGATGCTCGGGATAGATCAAATAAAAACATTCGCTATATGACACATCAAATCCAAGCAGATAACCAAGCCCAGGATACACAATTTGTTATGGTTCAGCAAGATCAACGAATGACGATCAATGGTGTCAATGGTGCATCTTCGACAGGAACAGCATTTTTGCCTCGAGGCACTGGAACGTCTGCTCCTCCTTCATTTGAGACTTATGATCCAAATGCAACCCCATTGGTATCAAATGTCACCCAGATTCTACCGGTGAATGCCCAAGCTCCAAACTTTGCGGGCGTGAAACAATTCCAGGATCCAGCGATGATCATCGAAGAGGGTCAGAAGGCATTTGTGAATTTTGTGAGCGCTATGGGAAATTGATTTCAATTATTCATATCTTGGATGCCAATGTTGCATTTTGAGATGCATGGCAACCGATGAGTGAGGGAAAACTGTTACCCACATATCTTTTGGTAGATCCAAAACTGTATGACGCATCATTCTTCTGTGAGGAATTTAGTTGCCAGCTATAATGCCAGATTGTCGATCAATATAGGACTTGAGATGATCGTAGTGCCTGTTCTTGAAAACGGTTCCATCCTAAAGATGCCCTAATAGTGACTACCGGTAGGATCGGTACATTTTGAGTTTGCAGCAGCCTGGGTCATCGGTTGATTTCGAATGATAGTGTGGTTGCGTCTCTTGGCATGTGGGGACTTCATTTACTTACTTGGACATCAACATCAAGAATAACAACAAGATTTTGATAAAACTAGCGATACCTACTTTGATATCTCTCTCTAATAAAGTTCAACTTTACGCGTTTCGTATTCAAAGGTAGACTCACTCCTTCTATCCGGTTCTTGGGAATGTAGATCATTAGCTTCTCGATCCATTGGAATCTAGATGCGTATGAAAACATGTACTGGCTGCTACCACTGCCCTTGGAAGATATACCCGTATAATATCTGGATGCTCAATCATGGTTGAAGTTCCATTGTAGATGTTATGCCTAGATAAGCGGCTTAGCCTGTTTCTGTATGTATTTATATCCATGACTTGTTCTCCTGTGAGTGCTTTTCTTGGACGCTTTTCTATCACATCTCAATTCACCACCTACAACTCACCCCATAACAAACAAGATGCGTCTTTCATACATTTCCGCTCTGCTGTTGGCACCTCTTGCACTTGCGGGTCCTACCCCAAGCTCGAATGCCATCTCAATCAACCAGCGTGATGTCTCTCCCCAGCTTGAATCTAGAGCTCAATATGTCAGTCAAAAGATCGAAAATGTTGTTCACGAGGGTCACAAAGTCACAGAAATGTGCCAAAAGTACGAGGGCGGAGTCTTTGAATCCATCAAACTCTATAGACAATTCAAGACTTGCTACAGTTCTGTTCAGTCGGCCGAAAAAGCTGCGAGTCAATCGGGACCTATGAGTGAGAGTGAGAGTGCAAATGTTGAAGCTGCTTTGAAACACCTCACTCCCGAATTCGTAGAAATTTCAAAAGCTCTCAAAGAACGTGTAAGTTTCTTTGAACACTTCCACGATTTACTCTCTCTTTCTCTACTACGACAGCTCTCTCGGACAGTGGATTCTGATGATTATCAGAGTGCGTTACTGACAAATTCAAATAGAAAAGTATGATTCAAAATACCCGATATGCAACTTACTTTGCGTCAGAACTTAGGAAACTGCAAAAGAATGTAGACGATTTATACAATACTTGCCAGAAAAAGGTTGCAACCCCCCACCAACCGAAGATCAAGGCGCTCGGGAGCGAAGTTGATGCGCAGTTCGAGATTGTTAAGGGGGAACTTGCCAGCAAATCCAAGGCCCGAAGACCTCTTGAATCCGGATTCGATAATGAGGATCTTGTCAAGCGTGTCGATTTGCCGGATTTCTCAGAGTTCTCAGATCTCTCAGAAGATTTCTCGGAAGGTCTCCCAGGCCTTTCAGGTCTTGAAGGTCTCACAGAAGATCTCCCAATTGGTGGAAAGGATTAATATGTGGCTCGGCATAGGTGCATCTGGCTATACAGAATTGGATATGTAACGTCGAATTTGATCTTAAGTTTGAGGGATGTGGAGACAAGATATTTGTATTAATTTTCAGAGATTTGTCTACCTAGAATAGCTCGGCTCACTTACAAAAGTTGATACTGTAACTGACAATGATAGTACCTGAATTACATCTGAATCCTCCAGCTATCTTAGCGATATGTGTCGAATAAAACTGCACCTGCTTGCTGTAATCTACCAAGGAATCCAATGTAATGCACGCTCGTTGCTCACACAAATATGAATCTTTACCATAACCCTAAGGCTTAAATGGATCGATACCTAGGTAAGAGTTGAATGACTTGCATCTTGTCTAAACCAACAATACCTACCTTTTTGATGGTACATAATATAATAAACTATATTTTTTTTGGCATACTCCTTCCTGCCTGCCCAAGTTTCCTCAAGTATGAGAATAGAAATGAAATGTTATACTTTGTTCTTCGGAAGCAGGATGTGCCTCAGAATGTTATCTATGAGGAAATGTAAATCTTACCAAAATCAGATGATTCAAGGCTCATCGAAATCAGAGTAAAAACATATATGTGCGCTATCACCACATAGGGGTTTCTGCTGTCAGTGATGGATGATATCTATCTGGTACATTCACGGCGAGGCTACCTGTCATTCGGCTATTTCCTGTGAAAGGACCGTGATTAGGTAAGTCAACAACTACCTGGCATTATCTCCCACGAGGCCTCGATACCTACAACAAAACCTCAAAATACATTCTCCTGCAACAAAAGCAGAATCTTTTGATTCGTTTTACTTCCTGATTTTCTACTGATTGGGGATCGCATAGCATCTGGGTATTTGCCACTTTGTCCCAGACCGCTCTCGTTCGTCCCACATTCCTACCAGTCGATTATCGAATACATAATATCCAGCTTCAAGGGTTGCGCACGATGGATATTGAAGCTTTGAAGGAGCAATGGAGTGAAGTGGAGGATCGTGATGGAGTTCGACTCAGTTGGAACGTTTTCCCAAGCTCTCGCATGGTTCGTCAAATAGATTTTACTCCGCGGGGTATAAGAGCTTATATATAATAGGAAGCCTCGAGGCTTGTTGTCCCCATCGGCGCACTCTATACTCCTCTTAAAGAGAAGCCGGATACACCACTCTTACAATTTGAGCCAGTTATCTGCAAGCAGCCATGTAGATCAGTGCTGAATCCCTTCTGGTAAGTCTTGCACTGGAATTCCAATTCCGAATCGAGCTCATTGTCAATAGTCAAGTGGATGTCAGAGCACGTCTTTGGATCTGCCCATTCTGCTTATCTCGAAACCCTCTCCCACCTCATTATAAAGATATAAATCCCAACCAAATTCCTCCCGAACTTCACCCTGCAAATACCACGATAGAGTACAGACTTTCACGGCCAGCTCCAAGTCCTCCCATCTTCCTATACGTCGTGGACACTTGTCAAGAGGAGGATAGTCTATCTGCGCTCAAGGAATCTCTTGTGATGAGCTTGAGTCTTCTGCCAGAAAATGCATTGGTTGGTTTAGTTACATTTGGAACTATGGTATGAATATTTTCGCACCCCCAACTTCGTAGCTCTATACTAACTCTCTGAATCTAGGCGCAAGTACACGAAATCGGCTACACAGAATGTCCAAAATCATATGTGTTTAGAGGTAGCAAGGACTACACCGCCAAGCAAATTCAGGAAATGCTTGGACTTTCGGCGGCTGGACTGAGGCCTGGAATGCAACAACCGCAACCTGGTAAACCAATGCCGCCAATGGGACCCGCCGCTCGATTTCTGCTACCAGTTCAACAATGCGAATTCCAGCTCACGAAAGCTCTAGAGCAATTACAAAAGGATCCATGGCCCGTCGCAAATGACAGAAGAAACCTCAGATGTACTGGTGTGGCTTTGAGCGTAGCGGTTGGACTGTTAGAGACTTCGTTCCAGAATGCTGGCGGCCGTATTATGCTATTCGCAGGAGGACCTGCTACCGAAGGTCCAGGTTTGGTGGTTGGTCCTGAACTGAGGGAGCCAATTAGATCTCATCACGATATCGACAGAGATAATATCAAATATTATAAGAAGGCTCTCAAGGTATGTTTCCCGATTCATTTTCATGGTCAGTTTTAACGAATACAGTTCTATGACAACCTGGCCAAGAGAACAGCACATAACGGCCACATAATAGACATATTTGCTGGATGTCTAGATCAAGTCGGTCTGCTTGAAATGAAGGGCCTCTCAAACTCGACTGGTGGTCATATGATCTTGACAGATAGTTTCACATCGTCCATGTTCAAACAATCGTTCGTCCGTGTATTCGAGAAAGATGGTGATGATAATCTGCTGATGGGTTTCAATGCTTCTTTAGAAGTTTTGACTACCAAAGAATTGAAGGTAACTGGTCTCATCGGTCATGCGGTTTCATTGAACAAGAAATCGACTTCTGTAGGAGAAACAGAGTGCGGTATTGGCAATACTTGTTCATGGAAGATGTGCGGTATTGATCCCAATTCTAGCTACGGAATATACTTCGAAATTGCTGGTCAAGCTGGTCCTGCTCAACACCAAGCCCAAGCAAAGGGAATGATGCAATTCCTTACATACTATCAGCATTCCTCAGGCCAATTCCACCTCCGTGTGACAACAATCTCTCGCAACTTGAGTGGACCAGCTGGAGATCCTGCGATTGCTCAGTCTTTCGATCAAGAAGCTGCTGCCGTTTTAATGTCCAGAATTGCTGTATTTAAAGCCGAAGTTGACGATGGACCAGACGTTTTACGATGGGTGGATAGAATGCTTATCCGTTTGTGTTCGCGATTCGCCGATTATCGAAAGGATGACCCATCGTCTTTCAGACTTGAGAAGAACTTTACACTTTACCCTCAATTTATGTTTCATCTTAGGAGAAGTCAGTTCTTGCAAGTGTTCAACAACTCACCTGATGAGACTGCATTCTACAGACATGTACTCAACCATGAGGATGTCAGTAACTCCTTGATCATGATACAGCCCACTTTGGACTCATACACATTCGATCAAGATGGTAGCCAACCTGTACTACTCGATTCTACATCCATCCAACCAACTCATATTCTTCTTTTGGATACTTTCTTCCACATCCTGATATTCCACGGAGAGACAGTTGCAGAATGGAGGAAAGCAGGCTATCAGGATCAAGAAGGATATGAGAATTTTGCATCACTTCTAGAACAACCAAAAGAGGATGCCAGAGTAAGTGCCACAAGTCACATGAATTTGGATACACAGTATACTGACTCGAGTAGGATTTGATTACCGACCGATTTCCTTTGCCACGTTTCATCGTTTGTGATGCCGGTGGTTCTCAAGCACGTTTCTTGTTATCAAAACTGAATCCGTCTACTACACATACGACGGGTGCATATGGTGGAGTGGGTGCTCAAACAGCGCAAACGATCTTTACTGACGACGTCTCTTTACAAACTTTCATGGATCATCTCATGAAGTAAGTTATTCCACTCCAATCTGTATTCTAAAGTGCACAAAACTAACCCATCTTTTTTCTTTCACAGATTGGCTGTAAGCGGAACGAATTGATGACGAGTATTTCTACCAAAAAGAACTGGGGGGCATTTGGAGCGTTGGTGGCGCAGTTTCGCGACGAGATTTGATTCAAGAATTTCGTTGACTTGATTGTGATGTTGATTAGGTATACAATAATAGCTATTAGATCATCTAAATAATGGTTCAGTTGTGATTTCTAATTGAGGTGATTGTTTGTCATTAACATATTGTAACATTCATCATCTAGTAGGTAACTCAAGCATAACATATCTGAATACTCAGCCTTACACCCGGCCATGAACCCCGCGGTTTGTAGTTGATGTATCCTTGTATTATTGTGACCTTACATGTTAGGCACACATACATCTGGATCAATACCGTCAACCTTGCCTTAAATCGGACTAGCTTAGTTAACCGAAAGTTTTCCACACATACCAATTTGAAGAATTTCTACAGATTGTGAATTCCGATCTCAACAGAATCAATCGTCGACACCATTCCCACCAAACCGATTCCATTCCATAGTCACCATGCGTAAGAGCCCACCACATATCATCGATACGATAATTCATTGTAACTAACAATTTCAATTTAGCTCCAAAGTTGGACCCCAATGAGATCAAGATCATGTACGTTACCTACACGAGAAAAATACATCAAAATTCCTCACCACGATCAACATGCGAATTGCGAACCTCGATATGTCATCTCAAAACCGAACCCATGCTAATGATAATTTAATAGCCACCTGAGAGCCACTGGTGGTGAAGTCGGTGCTTCCTCAGCATTGGCTCCCAAGATCGGTCCTCTTGGTTTGTCACCAAAGAAGGTCGGAGAAGATATCGCAAAGGCCACCGGAGACTGGGTATGCACAATCCGCAGAAACGAATAGCAATCGGGAGCGAGAACTGATAAATATGTGTTGTGCAGAAAGGATTGAGAGTCACCGTCAGACTCACCATCCAAAACCGTCAAGCCGCTGTTTCCGTTGTCCCATCCGCCTCCTCCCTTGTCATCAAGGCCCTTAAGGAGCCTCCCCGTGACCGCAAGAAGGAGAAGAACATCAAGCACAGCAAGTCAATTGCTCTTGATGAGGTTATCGAGATCGCCAGAACTATGAGATTCAAGTCTCTCGCAAAGGAGTTGAAGGGTACCGTCAAGGAGATCTTGGGTACCGCTTACTCCGTTGGTTGCCAGGTTGATGGAAGAAGTCCAAAGGATGTTAGCGACGATATCGAGTCTGGAGAGATCGAGAGTAAGTTTTTTTCTCCACAGGAATTCCTTTTCCATTTTCTTGCTAACCCAGCAAATTAGTCCCTGAGGAATAAATCAAAATTTACTTCATTAATCGCAATGTTTCACGGGCTACATACTTCACAATAGGCTGGGGGAGCAATGTCAATGATTCAACAAACCAATCTGCTATCTCATACATGGTGATTCCTCGATTTACAGTTAACTTACGCGTGAATTGATGTGAATGTCCCAATATATGAGAATGCCCAAGAGGATGCCAAGAAAGTAGTCGAGAATATATATCCTCGATAGGGACGCGTCGATACTGGCACTAGCCGGCAGTATTTGTCAAACGCCCCAGCAAATCATCTTCACACCCCCCATAACAACGATACCGGCAATACTTGTCAAGGCTTCGAATCGATAATTCCTTCCCCTTTATTGGGTGGTTCGATTCGTGGTTTCAGCAAGCTTTCGAAACCAAGAAAGCAATTGTCCGGCTAGTCACCACCGCATATCCTTCTTCCGAAATGGTTGTAATGGTTTATGAATTTTTTGATTCACATATGAATTGATTTGTCCGGCTATTCGAAAGTTCGCCTCATGTTTGTGACTGCATACTCACTCATCTTGACAGATAGTAGTTATACGCTTCGGCGTACCGATGCCAATTGGGCTATAGTATCATCTCATTGGTTTGCGCAGCGATGATCACAACAGGGGTAGTGCATAAAATGGTCGATGATGGGTGGAGGGGGTGGAATGGCAGTCTACGGCGCCGAGGTGCCATTATTTTGATTTTGACCGAGTAGATGCAATTTTATTTTGTTGAAATTGTGGTATAAACAGTAGATGCAAGCTTTTGAGAGGAGTAGAATTCATAGAGTAAATCAATGCCAGCTTTTGGAATTTGATATAAAAGCTTTCATTTCAATGTTTTTGCTTCACCATCACCTTTCTTGAATTGTAGTTTATGTCGCTACCTAGATATTTCGTTCGTATGTTACGCTGACTCCTGCTGACGCACGAAGAAAGACAGGAAGGGTTTTCTCGTAGTGAACTTGTGGTACCCAGCAGGCAGTAGCTGAGAGGCGCTTCAGCCATCATGGCCTTGTTCTCTTGAGAATGATTGGATCAATTCCTTGAAATTAAACCTTGTCCTTTATCTGTGCTTTGCCTTCTTTTCCCATTTCCTGCAGGATTGGATCCGAGTTAATGAATTTAATACGATTTGAATGCCTGTCTGGTTTTTTTTTTGATTATCCGTGTAATGGGTCTATATATATGCTATGGTAATATGGTGGTAATATGCAGGTAGTAGTGACATAGTTAGTACCCTACATACCATCATACATTTTTTTGACCGAAAGAAGCATTCGAGATTTCAACAATCAAGGTTTAATAAACTGGATATCGGATATTATCTGGGTATCATCTGGATATTGTCTGGATATCGTCTGGATATCGTCTGGATATCATCTGAAGATACATCTACACCTACACACATCTACATTTACACCTACACCTTCACCTACACCTTCACCTACACCTTGACCATTGTATTAACCCAAGCCTCAAGTCAAACTCAACATATATCTACACTATCTACCATCTACCATCTACTACCCACCACCCACCACTCACTACCGTGTATCATCAACCGAACCGAAACTTACTTCTTACAACTTTAATCTTCACTCTCAGGTTTCAGTCTTCAGTCTGCAATCTGCAATCTTCAAATCACAACGCTCCCTTTCTTCCCCTCTCTCCCAAAAGAAATAAATGATTTCATTATCATACATCTTTTCCCTTCAAAGGAACATTCTTTTCACTAGGTAGACTAAGCACCCAACTACTCAACTGCTTATCATCAGCCATTCTTTATTAATCCTCATCCCGCTCTTATTATACCTTTTGTCTTACCGTTTTCTGCCCTGACCTTTGCCTATCGCTTCACGACCGACCTCTCTCGATTGAATTGTTCCCCACTGTTCATCTTCCTACAGTCCCTTGTATCTATCTGTATTTATTTTTTACACAAAAGGTTTTTGGTTACGATAAGCCTTGCAACGCATCCGCATCATTTCACGCACTGCACCCACTGCACCACTTTCACCCACTACGCACCCAAGGAATGCTCCACTTCGACCGTTTTGCAGGACCCTAAGACTCTTAGAGCTTCCCATCAATAAATTTTACCATTCCTATTCCTGTTCCTATTCTCATTACCCTACTTCGATTCTTCGAGGAAAGGCTCCAAAAGAGAACACCGGTTTTGCCGCGACGTCAAGACGACCTACGCCCTCGGGCTACTGCATATGACGAGCAGAAATGAGCAGAAGAGAAACAATTCCCCTCCTTCGTGCAGGCATTGGCACACCTTGGTTTTCATGAATAAACCATCTACTTCATTTGATGACCCAGTTTTTGGCAATATATACCCATTTGTTATTTTTCCCAATACTAAATTTACAAGTAATGAAATATGAATCCTCAAATTGCTCGACGTTATCCTTCGCAGCAGTTGGGCGCGACTCCTGGATATGGAAACCCTCCATTCGAACCTCCCCCTCAGACTGGAAGAGCAGATCGACCTGCGCCGTTACCATATCGAAATTCTAGAAATCTCAGTTCCTCCACACTTTCCCCTCTCCATCGCCCCTACCCAGTCGATAGCAATGAATATCAAAGACCTCTAGCGGTTAGTCGCAGTATATCAGATCAAGACTTTGGTGGAGAGCACATGCTGAGGCGGAAAACTCCAAATGGGACACTAGCCGCGGGGTATGATGGAACTCCTGTGCAGTGGTCTAGCAAGGCACCGGCTTTGAAGCACGTTGTACTTGATGCCTCGGGAGGTTCAGCATACTCAGATGGGTCGAATGGTATGGCAGGATCTGGATGGAATTTCAATTCGCCAAATAATTTCAATAATCTTGATCAGCGAGTAAATAATTTATCGTCGCAGAATTGGACACCATTTACCCCTCTTCAAAATAATTTTTATAGTTCCCCGGGCCATGTATCACCTATGCACCAGATCCCTTCTTATTTCTCACCGACTGGGTTTTCCGTTCCAACTGCGCGACAGCCGGCTTACCAACCTGGACCTGGCCCTACTGCATCAAACGATGGAGGTCTATACGGCCCGTACTGGCCAGATGGGAGTTACACTCCCTACCGGCCAGCGGCTTACAGGGACCACACATTTGGAGGTCATGACTTTCAACACGTAAAGCTTGGATCGGAGTACTTTGGAGGGGTTCACCCTTTACGGCAATCCGAATTCGACAATGTTAACCCGCCACTTCATAGAGATTTATCATTTCCACGGATGGATGATCACTCACAATCATATGATTCTATGCAACAAAACCTGTATCAAATTGGTGGCAGCAGCAATGCAGTTTTCTCTGATCCTTCGAGTACCCTGATCCAGCCACTGAGTAGGGCTGGAAATGCCCAATTTAAGGAAAAGACACTTTCCTGGGCGCATGCTATCTATGTAGATCTGTTAGCTTATTTGCATCAGACGAAAAAGGAGAATCGACAGAATCGACTTTCTAATGGCTCTAAACCCTATGCCAAAAGTGTTATATACCCCAAACCACCAAGGCAGCCGAGCTCAACTTTCTCTTCACCAGGGCCCTCTCAAGATGGTACGCCTTTGAGAAGCCATCGTCCAAGTCTCAGTCACCGTAATTCTTATGGCTTCGCGGACCCGTCGGACGGTAGATACTCGCGGTCTATGAATCAAGTGATGGGAGCAGGTCACTACGTGCCTTCTTTCCAACTGTCGCAGCACAGCATAGCATCTCCCACATCTAACGCTCAAGAAGCACTGGATCTTCTTGCTAGTCTCTGCGAGGAAAGTCACTGGACTTGGGTTGATGGCATGTTATTAGGAGGGTGTCTTGCATATGGTTTAGAAGACTACAATAGAGCGCGAGACTGGTACGAGAAGATAATCGTTATAGATCCAAGGTATGTTATACGACGCCATTGAGATGACACCCTAGCTAACTGTAATCTCAGGCATGTGGAAGCAATTTCAAACCTGGCGGCAACACTTTTGTGCCTACAGAGACGCGACGAAGCAGAGGCAAATTGGCGAAAATCTGTCAACCTCCGTCCTAATTATTTTGAGGCTGTTGAACATCTGATAGGTCTTCTATGTGGTGATCATCGCGGTCAGGAAGCGGTTGCTATCATTGAATTTGTAGAGCGGTCTTTACGGATTCCTAAATCGGATGATCATCATGATCATTACAGCGAGACGTCAAGTAGTACTGACCGAGAGTTTCACGATTTTGCGAGTACCACTTCTGATACAGTTGTTGACTACGACGATAGGGACCGTCGTTCGATTTTGAGTGAAAGGCTTGAAGATAGTCCTGAAAAGGCTGGGTTTGGTTCAAGTGGATTCGCAATACCTGGAGCTGAAAATGGTCGACTGCTAGCTCTCATACACGCTAAAGGCAATATGCTGTACGCTCTCGGTGATGTAAGTGCAGCGTCTAAAGCTTTTGAGGATGCTGTTGTCATAAGTGCAGGGAAAGGAATTGGCGGAATTCAAGGACTCATTCGCAGGATAATCCATAGCCTGACTCTTGACTGTTTTCCTGGAATGCGTACCGACCCTGCCTCAACGCCAAGCTCAGCACCCTTGCTCTTACCCCCCGAAAAGGCATTGGAGTCAAAATCACTGGTATTTGCAAGAAACGGCGAACTCCCTGGTCTTCGATATATTCCCGAAGGATTGGCCCAAAAGGCTGCCATATCAACTACCAGTAATTCTCTGTTGTCCTTAGCCAAGATCTTCCAAGATGCCATGTCCAATAATACGTCACAGCGGATTTCAAGAATGCCTACAGGTGTCGGAGACATCCTCGCATTGTATTATTTATCTTTATCGTTGCAACCCAGTCCATCAACAGCTAATAATGTTGGTATTCTTCTGGCAAGCGTACAACAACCCGCAGCTCATCGACCAATTCCATCTCGAGACACCACAAATAATACTGCGATACCTGGAGTCGTTGCTGGTAGCGGTGTCGCTTTAGCACTTGCTTACTATAATTATGGGTTGCTCTTGGATTCAAGACATGCACACCTCTACACCAATT